TCAAATGTCACCAACCCCTCCTACGAAAGCTCTTCTGTACTGACTCCACCAGAACCTACTTACGATCTTTTCTCAGTAAGTGTTCATCTTCATTTGAGATTGAGACATGACTAAAATCATGGTGAGAGGGAATGAGTTTATGAAAGAAAAATGTCTAGTTGGAAGAAAGATGGAAAATTAATTTGGGAAAACACCATTCACATTCCTGGCTTTCCTGTATCGCCACTGCTAGAAACTGGGTAGCCTCACTTGTAGCAAAATTGAGGCTGTGGTCTACAGCTGTATCTCCAGTCTGCCTTCAAACAGAGCTGTATTAAATTGGACTTCAAATGCTACCGGATGCCAACGATGCGTCTATACAAACTTAAAAAGCCTTCCAATTTTGTCTTCCCTTCTCTTTGCTGCACGTGCAGCCGAGTGCTGTGCCAGCACCCTGCAAAGAGTCTGAAATGCAATGGGAAGGGGCCTGGGAAACAACAGGAGGAAATATTGAGTAAATTCAGAATATCTGAATAGCCTCAGTGGTCCAGTTTAGCAAGACCCTCAGGTACATGCAGAGTCTAAAAACAAAATTAAACATTTTTCCATCCAGTAAAGATGGAAAAAAAAAATTTTGCACTTGTTTGGTGCAAAAGTGTCAGGTGCAAACTCTGCCATCTGTAGGGACAAATTTGCCAAGAAGTGACTTTCATTTCTTAATGCAATGTTCAAGTCTGATTTTCTTTTTCTTCTATTTTATAGGATTCAGATGACCAGCAGCTTGTGATGAGCGGTCCTTATGATGAGAATTAAAGACTGAATTTGGCATTAGTCAGTTATAAAACACATTTCTATTTACACTTACTGTGAAAAAACAGCACCTACTTGTTTAAAGTAATAAAATCTCATTACAAACTGAAAAGCAAAAAAAGCACAGCTTTGTTTGTTTAAGATGCTGTCTATATAGTTCAGAGCATTACCAACCTCAGAAGCTGTGGCTGCATCTGAGCAATACCAAATGAGTGCCAAATACAAGACTGAGTCTCAACTAACCTACCCAGAAGCAGATACTCCTTTGAGAAGTATGACTTTCCCTAGCCTGCTATTTAACTGCCTTTATTCTTCTGCACAGACTTGAAAATGGCCTCAGACACACTGCTAACTTGGCAAATATCCTGAATTTGCTAGTACTCCAGCTCTACGCTCTCGTTTTGGCTCAGTTACAACTACCACTGGCAAATGTGAAACAGAACATGTGTTAAACCTGTTGCGGGAAACGCAAGCATCCTGTCTGCTCTAGTTCTTCTGTCTTTTCTCAAACGTGACTGTGCTTTGTTTACATCTCACCTCACTGAATAAAGGGGAATAGCAATTGTAGCAGCCTTAGTAAGAGATAGAGTAATAAATTTTTATTTGCATCATTTTTGGGAGAAGTGGACAATGAAGATGAACATATCCCTGCCATGTCATGTCCACATCCAGTGTTTTAGGTCTGAGAGAAGCAGATGCTGCCTGCTTGTTCACATAATGTATTTTTATCAAGCACATTAACATTGCCTTTCAACCGATGCACAGCAATAACAGCTGTGACTTTCACCATTTGATTCACTTCTAATCATACTTGACTTCGATTCAATTTCCTTCCCTCAAAACTTTAACATTATAGCAAACTGTGAGGATACCATAAAATAGCAAGAAAAGAACGATTTTCTTGCTGGCGGCAGTAATGTTCTCCTGTTTTCCTGATGTCACCATACATGGCAAGCAGGAGGGAAAGTGTTGCTGCAGGAGAGCATTTGTTACCTCTGAGAGCATCGCCAGGATGCCCCTTCTCAGAACAAAGTGTGCAGGCAAATCCAGGGGTTTTAACACCGCTACCAAGTGCAACCAGTCTAAATATGCCTGGATGAGACAGACAGGCTGAAGTCATCTCTATAACTCCTCCTCTTGCACCCCTAGACATGTCTGCTGTATTAAAAAATTGAGAACACAAACACATTTAAAAGCACTCACATATACTTAGGGGAGTTTTCACCACAGAGTTTCACAATTACTACAACTCATATTCTTTCCCCTCTCCCAAAATATTAAGGCTCATAGGGACTGCAGATAAAGTCCAAGCATTTATTTTTTTAATAATCATTAAATATTTTTATCACAAAAAATAAGTTTCAACAGCTCATTAAACTCTTCCTTCAGTGACAGACTATTCTCTTCCATGTTTTTGAGAGAAAGAAAATTTCTTCTTGCTTTGGTGCTCAAATGAGCCATACTCCAAAAATTAATATAAAGAGACACTGCCCTTTAACATGCTCAAAAATCCCTTTGAAGTCAGTAACATAACAAGGTTAAAGTAAGTAATGCAGAGCGCGCCAAGGTGAAAACATTAGAAAAATTTAGTACCTTTTTAAAAGTTAAAGAAGAGCATTCTAGCACTGAAAAAGAAATACTACACTTCAAAATCCTCATTTAAATTCACACTATATATAGTTGGGTTGTTTTAAAGGAACATCACCCTCCCATAATTTTTTTTCATGCAATGTTGTTTATTTCAAGAAGTCATGCAATATAAACGAGATTTTACTTCAGCCGACTGTCGTAACATAGAGCTTTGTACACAAGTTTGATTTGCAATTTAAGAGAAAGGAAGGGGGAAGTGGAGGAAATAATCTTGAAACAAAAAGTGTATTCTGTGGGTAACATCATCCAACCCATTTGAACTGTTCCTGCTTAACACAGGAAAATTAGGCAAACAAACTGAAAAGCCAGCTTGAAAAGAAGAAACATCACAAGAGTTATAATCAACAAAACTTTAACAAATTCAATAATGCAGAGCTGAATAACAAATATTACTATTTGCTGGTAGTAAGATGGAGAAAGTACAGTGGTTTTGGGTTGTTTTATTTTTTCAAACAGTGCATTGAAATCTCTGGAGCATGAGAGGTGCTACACACATAACACCAAGTTCGATTCTAGCCGAGCTTTCGGATAAAGAACTGAAGGCAAATCGGAGACATTTCCATCCCCACATTTCACTATCAAGTTATGCAAAGTATTTCTCGCACAGCTCCACCACCAAGTCTCCTGATAAAGCCAAACTAGCTTCTTGCAAAACTTTATCTTTTTCTTCCAGTGAAACAGCAGGACCGTCAGATGAACTTATTCATTTCAAGTATATTCATCTATTTATATACACACACACACTGTTCAGGAGCCTTGCACGTCAAGTTTGAAACAGGAGCACAAGAAAACCATGAGCATAAATTCTACAACCATCTCTGTGGACTTCAGGCTGATTTCAAGCATACAGGAAAAACTACTTAGGAAATTGTGCAGGCTAGATTAGAATACATTCTTTACTTTGCCAACACACTTTTAAAAATACGGAAGATACTGCGTATGAAATTCAAAATAGGTACTTGCACATAATACAGACAGGTTGGAAAAAAGAAAAAAAAACAGAAACCCCAAAAAAACCAAACAAAAACCAAGAAAACTTTTGGTCATCAAAAGTTTGTTTACTTGACGATCATGGTAGGAAGCAAGTGATATCCCAAAATGAAGAGAAGAATACCAAATGCTATATATTTTGTTAATTATATGCCTTTAAAAACAGAGCCTTTAATAACTAAAATTTGAAAAGTATTAATCACATTGTGCCTTCCAAAATGGCTGGGGTGGGAAGCACCAGTTAAACACAAAAAAACCCACACAAACAGAAAAAAAACGTTTCCTTTGGATGCAAAGAAAGGAAAGCATCCTTATTTAAAAACAACTATATAACAGTTCTATAAAGTGCCTGTTTGAGGAAACACATCAACAGATGCTTTCCTTGTGCAAAATAGACATTTTTCAGCTCAAATCTTTGGAACATACATGCTGTCCAGAGTTTGTGTTCACACATTACCTACAATTTCAGTAATTCAATAAAACTTCTAATCTGCACCACCAAAATTATTCTGCTTGATGCAAACTGTCTACCGCCCTCAATTCAGCTTTCAGGGCTTGAGCTTAAAAAAATCTTAGCAGAAAACTCTGGGTTCATTAATTTTTCTTTCAACTCATTTGCCCATTGTGCGTGTTTATTTTTGACTGAAAAAGTCCATTACTGAAGGCTATATAAAATACATTCTCTCCTAGGGAACAGCAAAACCACAATGCACACCACTGTAAGACACTGTTAAAACTTTAAAAAGCAGCATTTAGGATTGATCTAAAGCCTGACAGAGATATGTCTCCACTTCAAAATGCAACACGCAAGAGCTCTTGAAATGGCTTTGTTACGAGGCAGTAGATACGTTTTGAAACTTAAAAAGAAAGGTGTCTAAAAGTTGACAAAAGGAAGCTGAAGCAGCCCAAATTACTGCTGCTTTCCGGTTTCGGCTCAGATCTGCCTACAGCCAAGCACAGGCATAACAAGAACAGAAACTGCTCAGACAGAAGAAAAAGCCTGAGCCCGCCAGTGCTGTAATCACTGCAATGCAGCAGAGCCACATCAGCACCACCGTGGGTAGCTCAGGAACAGGTAAGGCTCTAGCAATGGCAGCAAGGAAAGTTAAAATGTGTACACCCTTCCTCTCAGTCTCACCCTAAACTGGCTACTCACTGGGTATCACTGAAATACTAATACTGGATTTGAGCTTTTCAGTGCCAAGATCCATTACAGGCTCCAGCTGGAGTGTTGAACATGGTCATAACAACAGAGAATACAGGTATTTCTTTGTGAGCCACAAGGCTGCAGATCAAAATTTCCAATAAACAAACAAAAACAACCACCCCAGAACACAACCAGTCCTTCCCCTCAAATTTACACTCCCTCCCTTATTTTGGCAGTCCATCATCTCTTCTATGTGTAAGAGGAGTTTTCATATCTCCCAGCAGGAGAGGAGAAAACAGGTACAACACTTACGAGAACAACTATGAATTCCATCCAAATCGAGAAAACAGATTTAAGTGAATTAAATAAAATACACGTACATTCAAAAAAGAAAATATATATTTAGAGAGAAGAAGCCATTTGTTTATTTGATTTGAACTGTCTCTTGTAGGAAAGGTATTCTGAATGTACCAGTGCACAGCTGGTCTGACCAGCCAGGAAGTTCGTGCTGCAAAGGAGTCCTTCTTGGATAAAACGTGTAATCAGGCTCATAGTTCAAGAGACAACTCAGTGATGCCATGTAGATATCCGCAAATCTAGAGAGACGTCTTAGGAAATAAGTTGGATTCTCATCAGTTCTGAATAAGCTTCCAAACTGTGCGTTGAAGAAATTCCTGTTCATCTCCCTGTCCCCCCAAAAAAAAGAAAACAAAGAAAATGAAGTGAACATACCTGCACACACCTTTTCACCAGCTAGCACCTAGGACCTGAAGCAGACAGTTCCTGTAATCTGTGCTATGCATTATTCTCTTGCCATTGCACTTCAAAGCACTTAAAATGCACCACATAAGAAATTTTTGCACCTCTTGCACATACTTGGACCAGAATCTAGCAACCATAGTAGTGAACAGAATAGCTTCACACTTCTGCCACTAAAACCAGTGGTAAGTTGCTTCTGGCTTCAGAAACATGGTATCTCAAGCTTTCCTTTCCAGAGACTGTGAAAGACTTTTGGCTTCTCCTAAATCTTAATGACATCCACTTGTCCTAAAGATAAAAGACTTTTTAAAAAATATAAATATTTGGCTTAATGTACACAAAAACCTTGCACCCATCTTGGAATTTACTTCTGTTATTAATCACTGCCAAGTATTATTCCCATTTCATTTACTTCCACATTTGTAGAGAAGTCAATACAGCTATGGGCCTTGCCAACTGTGCACTTCACACACCCTGCATTTAGGGGTTGTTCCTTCATGACTGTAGATTTTTAGGAGTTGCAGCCCTATTACCTATCTCTGTGATGAGTTCACTGCTAAATCCAGTCTAACACAGATCTCAGTTTCTGCATCTTCTAACAATGTATTTTATGTAATCTGAAAAAATAATCTAAAAAAAACCTGAAGTATTTTAAGTCTTGATACAGAAACACACTGTTAAATCATGTAGAAGTAAAGCTGTGTAATCAATAGCAACAGGGACCGCTGAGCATAGAGGGACAGGAGAACCGAGATGAGAGGGGAAAGTATTTGATATGATTTTACCTTTTCACGCAGAAAACTAACATCTGTTCCAAAGAAGGGGAACAGGGAAAAAGGGGTTCATATGCATGAAGGGTCAGAGGGGAGAAGACCTGCACCAGAGACAAGCAGAATATTGCTTTACACAGATAATTTAGAAGGTCTGTAACTACCAGGGAATATAAACCAGAGGCGGAGAGAAATTCTGAAGAAACCTGTGGAAGACATCACACACAACACTTGGCTGCCATGACGCATATTGCAAATTCTTCCATCTCCCGTGCCTTACCTCAGCTCCTTTCTTTCCTTCTTCCATTCTTCTAAAATCATTTGTGAATCGGGATCACGGTGAACCTGGAATGCAAAGTATGGATGGAATGAAAAGAATGTATGTATAGGTAACTAAGGATGCCCTTGTAAATTAGCCTTTCCATTAATAAACCCTTATCAGTTAACAGGACAAGAGCATGCTTCAGACATCAGTATACAGAATTTATCCACATGCATTTCAAAAAAGCAAACGCAGGAATCAATGCAGGCTGACCAGTGGAGGAAGGCAACAAGGTTTTGAGAAAACTGTAACTAGCCACACAAATAATTGCATTTATTTATCTACAGTCAAACTGGTGAACTTTACTGAGACAGAAATTGCTTGCAACGTCAATGTCCAGCATTTAGAAACTTGGCTGGATCCCTTCTGCTATACCGAGCCGATTACACACACACAGAACAGACCTGCATGTGTTCCAGTAATCCCGTCAAGGTTTGCAGCCAGGTCATGGTTTGAATGTACTTCTCTGTGTTCATTATTTTAATCTCTGATCGTAACTCTGGAATAATTGCACCAGTGCGCCAGCCATGCTTCAGGGTCAAATCCTGTTTACCAGGAATTACAAAATACAAGTATTAGTCTTAAAAAGAAGTAGTCAAAAGAACTGAAGAATCTGACCATTGTTTATCCCAAAGGGGCACTAATTTAATTGCTTCTTATGTAACAGCAGAAATATTCAACACTGGGACTTAATTGCGCCAATAGGCAATAGAACTTAATTTCAGAGTAAGCTTCAAATCCCACATTTTTAGACAGAGAGAGATAAAGAAGACAAACACTTGCAAATAACCACTAATTAATCAGGTTTAAAACAAATAGTAGGAAATTCCTTGGTAGATGAGACCTCTGCTGCTGTGAGAAGTACCTGGAGGAAACTTGAATGTTGGTTTTGTGGTATTTACCCATACACTCAGCTGACGGAAGGGTCCTATTGGGACCCCCTGGTATTCAAGCTCCTCCTGACAAGTATAGGATGAGGCAGCTGTCACCCATGCTCTCTTCTCCACTATGCCAGAGAACAGAGCTGCGTTCTCCTTCCCTTGGCCCTCACCCTTCTGAAGCACCCAAACTTGCTTTTCTTTTAAAAAGCAGACTCGGGCAAAAATGTTAACATCTGCTGCTGCTGAAACATGTTAACACAGCTTAGCAGTGGAAAGTCATATCCAGGCATTCATAAGCAATCAATTACAAAAGGGTTAAGTGGTGGTCACTTACTTTAAAGTTACAGATAACAGCACATTTGTTTGTAAGGTAGTAAGAAAACACTCGGATAGTGGGGCTACCACTACTGACAGGAAGATCAGTTCCTGCCATTCAAAACAGAAGTTCATTCAGCTCTTATTACACTTGGTAGTAAACGTCATCCCAATCAGCCACATCCTGTACGTTGGGTATCCGCGTTTACTCTCTGTTACATCAACACTATCAGTAGCTGGATCACAAATACAAACCCACACAGTCCTGAGCGCAGTTTGTAAACAAGCTAAATGCTAAAGTCAGGTCGAAAATATGGTCAGCCTTTTATGGCATCAATTTCCTTTACTGCAAGAAAAGTGAAATATGGCTTAACTACCAACTCAAATTTTGCTGCACTTGGAAACCTCATATGGAAGTGTGTTACACTGAATAACTGGGGAAGAGGAGAGGAAAACTGAACAAAAACCTCATCTTTCATTCTATTTTGTAAACTACTTACTGCCAAGTCACTGTAAATGTGATCACCAAAGTAGAGAACCTTAGAGCCCCTCCAGCCAGTAAGCTTCAGAAATTCATACAAGTTACCCTGCAGAAACAATGACATGTACATAGTAGTGGCATGCAACTTGCACCCTTCACAGGCATGAAAAAAGAATTTAGTACACGCCTAAAAATACTTCTGTATCAAGAATCTTGGCTTTTGTTTATATATTACAAATCCCAAATTTTACAGGCAATTTCAGTGATACTGTCACTTCAAGAGGCAAGTAAACTGCACATACAATATCAACAATGAATTTGCACCACTTCAATCATTAAAATAACCCTCTTAAAAAACGTATCTACTTTTTAGAAGCCTTTGTGATATCTAAAGAAGGTTGGGATTCTGAGAAATAGGTATTAAACTTGAACTTTAAAAGAGTTTCTTGAAAGCATACCTGTTTGTAAATCTGACCTTTCTGCAGCTTGTGAATTTTGTCCCAAAGCAACACTCCCCTTTCATTCACCTTCCGAAATGGTCTAGAGTAGAATTATATACAATTGTTACATTGCTGTAGAAATCCTGTCACTTTTTATTAGGAGATTAAAATTTTATTATTAAAAATATTCATCTTTCAAAGGGAAAACATAGTCTCTAGAACCTGAACATTTTGTAATAGACAGAAAATGCAAAGCTCCAAAACTCCAGCTTTAGCCACAGGAATGCAATGTATCTACTCATTATACCTATGACATTTATAACTGAGTTTGGGAACAACTGTAGAGAACTAAGGCGGGGATCCAAGACAGAGGGGAAGTCACAGTGTGAATTCTCTGCCATCAAGGAGAGAACATAAAATGTGAAGATATGTAAAAATCTTGCCTAATTCTCATTTTGTACAACTGAAGAAGGGGACAGAGGACTGGGGGCAAGATGTACAGCAGAGTTATTTTTATAAATTAAATGAAAATAAGTAAAAAAAAAAAATCTCACCTTCCTCTATCTCACTTCCAAATCATAAGTACCAATAAAAGAACAGGTCTTTTTCAAGTGCAAGAGTAAGGCATACACATTACAAATGTGTTTACTTAATTGAAAAACCTGTCTAAATCTGTCAGCCAGTCTGCCCCTTAAATATCATATGTGACTAAACAAAACCAGAAGCAATGAAAAGACATTTCCAGATAAGGGGCCGATTCTGGAAGGCTAGTGCCTGACATTTCTCAGGTTTGTTAGGAAAGCAATACACTTCACCAATTTACAAGGTAAGATGTTAAAAACAGATTCTGGGACCCTAACTCAGACCAGTAGACCTGTAAAAGCTATTGGTACTTTCTTAGATTAGAAATGGTAAATATTTGGACTTCAGAATTGGGCGTTGCTGCATTCTCTAATGACCTTACACAGGATTTCATCAAATACGATTTCATTTTACATTGAATCCAAATTAAAATATTTGATAGCATGCTCTACAGTGCTATGTGGAATAAGCTACTTGAATTATTCTTTACTGACTAAATACCCACCTTCGCTTATCGTTGAAAAAGTTTGGCTTATCAGCCTGTACGATGACCACATCAAAGAGATCCCTCCAGTCCTTGCCGACTATGAACTTCATGCCTTTATCCCTAGAACAGAGGGATATTAACAGTGAAGTGTAACAGAAGTGCAGTTATCTCTGCAATATAGTGAATTAAATTAGACAACCTCATCCTCCCCATCAAAAATATATAGCTAAAGAGCAAGCAACTGTTCACTTACACGAAGCTGCTGGGACTGTTTGTGATGAGGAACATCTTTTTGCCATGATCAGCCAGCTTGGCCAACACTGCACGGGTTTGTTCGGCATAGCAGATGTATTTCTCTGTAAAGATTGGCGAAAACACAATATTCATTGAAAAAGTTTTTCACAAGAACTTTCTCTGCATTCAACTTAGGGTTCAGAACATGAGGTTACACTTAAAGGCACCCTCAACAAGTGGAAATAACTCTTTCAACTGTTTATAATTTGTAATCTTAACCAAGAAAGCCAGAAAGATCATTATACTATCAGTAAAAAAAGCTTTGACAGATGATCTCATTAGCACTTACCAATGTCTGCTTCAATTGCTCTGTACATTATTCCTTTGATGTGGACATCCCTGATTGAATCCTGTCAGGAAGCAACACAACACTAAAAAACTGAAAAATCTTTTCAAGTATAAAAACCATGCACACTGCATAGCAGTAGTAATTTGTTTTTAAAACAATTCCTTTCTCCGAGTTACACTTTCAGCTTCACAGAAAAGCCATGCAATGGTCATTATGCATGCACCACCACTAGACAAAGAGAAAGCCTGTCCTCCAAGAAACTAACTTCATACTTCTGGGAAGTACAAAACTGTACAGCACAGAGGCTGTTTCACACAGCAATTGTGAAAGGGCGCTCAGAAGGGTGAAGTGGGGTGAAAAATCTGTGCAGAAGCAGAGTCATCACAGATTTCTAATGACCTCTGGAGCAAAACACATTCCTCTTCTCTCACAAAATAAAAAAGCCAGAAGCTTTAAATCAGGTAGATTTTAGATTACAATCACTCCCAAAACCCCTTCTTATTTAAAAAAAGAAATTTACAAACAGGTGAAAGAAGCTGAATGCTTAAGCGAAGTACCCATAAGGAGCTCTGGAGGCATTTGGCAGCTTTACTGAGCCAGCTCTGTACCAGACTGCTTTGTTTAGGACAGTGGTAGTGTCATTTTGATAGTTACATAGGGTATGTCCTAAAAATCCTCAAAAAATGGCACTACAGGGCTTCCAAAATGTTGGTAAAGCTGAGCAGTACAGAATTTTCTACTTAACACATCAGCAGAAACCACAAGAACTAGCCTTCTGAATATGTAACCATAGGCAGAAGGGAAAATTACTCTCACAGTCAAAAGTTTCTTAAAATCTGGCTCATCTACTTGGGAAAGTGAGAAATTCAGCATTCAGGTGTATCACATATGCTGAACAACTACACAAGTTTAATACAAGTCCACAAGGGGCCACGAAGTTTCTAAATGGAGAGCTTGTGCAGACAAGTACATCAACTTGAGCATGACCTCTTCTGTTCTTAAATGACCATGACATAAAATTCTCTCTTCTGCAGGATACATCCTGAGGAATCAAGAGGGTCACATTACTCTAGTCATTATTACTACATTTTTTTGGAGGAGGAAACAGACAAAACAGACATGCCAAAAGCAAGAGATAACAAATGGTGGTATACTACGCAGTACAACTGAAAGCTTCAAATTAGAGCTCCCTACAGCCTCTCACAACTCCTGCTAGTGAGAAAAGTATAGTTTTAATAACAATCCAACAAAACTTTATCAATGTACAAGACCTTCTTCACTTTGCCCCTATCCTCCATCAAACCTATAGAAAGACAGACAGCCCTAGAACACCAGATTTAAAAACATTCAATTTTTTTTTAATTAAAATATTTAAAACTTTCAAATTTAATTTCTTTTCCCAGGTCTACCTTCATTTTACATATGTTTTCATGGTTGCATAGCAGTAATTACTCTACAAGACTTAAAGTTGAGGTTGAGCTCACTGGAGCTGTCTCAACAGGTTGAAGCTTCCTGAAGCGCTCACAGAGGAGATCTGCAAACATGGTTTACCTAATTCTTCAAAGCTAGTACCTTGACATCTTTGTACAGATGAACAGGCTCATAATCTATGTTGTTTTTCAGAAAATATTCATTCACACAAGAAAGGAGTGTCATTTCTGGCAAGGAAAATATATCCATGAATTGCTTCATTGTATTTCCTTGTGAGCTCTACAGGAGTTGGAAGAAGAACGAAGGAAAAAAAAAAAAAGAAAAAAGGTCAGGCATTTCTCAGATTAGAACAGATTTCATTCATACAGTATAAATACCTCATCTTAGTTGCAGATATTCAGCCTTTGCCACCACTGTTCACATTGCTTTTAATTATTTTTTTTTAACTAACAGTCTTCCAATAAAATAACTCCAACAAAAGCATTTGCTTTATTTTAAGAATTAATCATGACTCATTACTCTTAAGAGCAGTTTTTTAATTCATAAACACATAAAAGACAGCACACAGCTAAAAGTCAAAAGAAGGACTTGGAGGCCTTCACTCGAAGTCAGAATTTCTATAAATTAGAGGCACTGGGTATTGTGATGGGGGTTAGAGGTTTGGATTTGTTTTTTAGTAAGTGGAATACTGATTAGGACTGCAAAACAATTTACCTCCTTGAGAAGAGATAATAAAAAGTTGTAAGAATCTACAATAACTACAATGCAGAAACAGAGGAAAAGATTTCTCATCTGCAAAAGCTGTAACTATACTTCAGTTTCACAAAAGGAGGGAATCTCATTATACAAGAGCAAATACAAACCAAATACTTTTCAAGAAGAGAGGTAGAGCAATGAGCTCAAGGCACAGAACAGTTGAGGTTGCAAGGGACCTCTGGAGCTCATCTTGTCCAGCCTCCCTGCTCCTTTCTGAATCTCTGAGGATAGAGACTCCTGGGCAACCAACCTGTGCCAGTGCTCAGTCACCCTCACAGTAAAGAAAGCACTTCCTGATGTTCAGAGGAAACCTGTGTTTCAGTTTGTGCTCACAGCCTCTTGTCCTGTCACCGTCCTTACCAAAAACCAAAGAAAGCATAGACCTGCAGAGACCAAGGCATCCCACAGGAAAAGCCAGGGTGATAATCAGAACTGCTGCAGAGAGCCAGATTTGGGAATTCTAAATTCAGCTCCTTAAAATAAGAACAAGTGCAAGAACAACAAAACGCTCCACAGCACAAAGAAGGGCGTTTCATGTCAACATGGGATTAACATCCATCAGTAAAAGTGGTAAAATAAAGTTGTTTTTTACTAAAAAGACAGCATGATTCTTTGGGAAAAAGAAACGAACCTACCAGCAAGAAGATCAACTTTCTCCACAAAGTTTAGGGTTTAACTTAAAAACCTTATTATTCATATTTTGTCAAATCCTCTTACTGTTACTTTGGCAGCTTTCATACAAGGGATGCCTCCATACATTTACTTGCTGCTACATCAGCTAAGCCATTAGATCACCAGGAAGAAGTACACAGCCAGTAACCAGATATGGTTCACCTCTCAGCCTTTATCAGATTTGCTGTGCAACACTGAGCAAGTCACTTGGTTTTCCTATGGGAACAGTGAAAGAAAAAACTACAGAGAGTGGGGGAAAAGGTATTTGTCACTTTGGAGGGCAAACTTCTTACCTAGCACTATAAGTCAATCACATACTGAAAAGATATAAATGATAGTAAGAACAAGAACAAAATACAAACACCACTACCCTGACCACCCCCCTCAAAAACCAGTTTGTGGTTTTACCTTTCCATAGAAATCACTCATTTGTTCTAAAGGGACATGGGAACCATCATACATTGCAATGACTTCATCATCTGGGACAACACTGAGCCCTCTGCAAAATAACACAAGCTTTAGTTCAGAAGTCAGATTAAAATTTTCCAAGTAACTACTGAATGAAAGTCTGACTGATTACCACTTAGATCTGGAGCTTATTAAAACACTAATAATGTCATAGGAACACTTTTGTCTAAGTTAAAGCAACATCTTTCCATTTTAACAGGCTGAAGCACACAGAACACATTCCAATTTTAAGTCCTTTTTACTTTCTTACGGGAAAAGCACTAATTAGTCTTCATTGAAACTATGCCTCAAGGGTTTGTAAGAAGTAGTAAGAGCTTCCAGTTTCTTAACACAAAGTAATTCCTAGCTCTGCCTTTGTTTCACACGGCACTGATGATGTGATAGTGTTTAAATCAGATTATTCTGCAGCATGACCTTGAAGATTCCAGGGAAAGAAAAATATACACAACCTTTAACTAAATAAGAATTTCTTTTAAACTGTATCAACAGTTCAGTTTCTAAAAAAATGAAGATTATTTTAAGGACTGCTGACAAGTAATTAAAATATAAAAATATAACAACAAATGGGGAAGAAGGAGACATCATCTGTCCCCAGAGTTTTTCCACCAACTATTAAGAGATGAAAGGCTTTGTTTTGGGTTTGAATGTTTACAGTATCGAGCATGTTGTACTAAAGCATCTAAACCACTGTGGGCACACAAACAGCACACAGATCACCAATTTTACATCAATTTAGTCAATGGAAAGCGTCAGGTTGTGTGGACACAAAGCAGTTGTGCTCCAACCACACCAAACTTGCAGAATGATATGTCCAACCTTAAAAGGTCTGAGCAAATACAGCAAGACCTCTCAAGTGTCTCTGCAGCTACACTAAAGTCATGTTAATGGGCACTCTGTGACAATTATTTACATAGAAAGCAACAGCAGAGAAGTCATCAGCGTATTTTTAGATGTCTTTCAGCACAGTTTAACAGCCGGAAACAAAGTGAGTCAGCACTATGTGACCAACCAGCTTGCCAACTTCCCCAGCTCTCAACTGGGGAATCAGCTGTACTGTATCAGTTGGTAACAGTGTATGCAGGTCTCCATGTACACACAGAGGGCCGGACAAAGAAACCCCTTTCCGGTAAGACTGCAATACTCATTCATGTCTGTGCTTTCGGTACGCTGTTCCTGATAGGAATGCAAGATGTACACTCTTAAACACAAGATGTACACTATTAAACACGAGTAAGATATTAAAAGAGTATACACTTTTATTATAAATATTAAATTATTTTACATACCTGTAAACTGTTCCCAGCTGAATATAATGAAAAGCATCAATCTTCATTAGTAATGCCTTGCAGGGGTGGGAAAAAAAAAGTAATTTTTTATCACTTCAACTATTTGACACAAAATTATAAAAAAATCAAAGCAACTTTATCTATAATCTTTCCAGTTCAAGAACACCTGAGCACCTTCACTTCAACTTCCTCAAAGGTTCCAATTTATCAATGGCTTTTACCTAGGGCTTGCCAAATCACCAGGGAAACACTGTCCAGTGATCTGAGCAAGGTCATGAAGAAACATCTTTTCCTACTAGCAGATGCCTGCTTAGGTTTATTTTGCTGCAAAGTTGTCTTTCTTCCTCCCCTTGCCCACCGTAAGAACAAAACACCCCAAATACTTTATCATTAACAGGGGGTTTTTTAAGGTCAAGCTTGCCATGAAAGAGAAACAAACATCAACGCAGAGTGAAAAATCAGGAGACTTAAAAACCCTGTTTATTTTCTTTGGCTAGGTTTTCAGCACCACATAACTCATCACAAAGTTATTTATACATACCCGGTGCACATCATAATGAAGTCCTCTGATTGCAAAATTGGGATCATAATCGTATTTTCTTATTTCTGCAGGATACTAAGAAAAGATGGCAATGATTTGATTTGAAATTCATAACAAAGGCAAATAGGAAAATTGTTTCTGCAGAATTTTAAAAGCCTACGTTTCCTCTGCTTCTCATTTTCACTAGTCATTAAAAGTGACTTTCTGATAGGTTGGTGAGATTTGCAGGAACGTATCTACACTGCAAGACAACTCAAACATTTTTCCAAAATCCAAGGTCAATGTTTTAAACCTAAGTCAAGCAAGGTACCTAGAGTTGGACATCCAGGTTCTCTGTAGTGATTACCTTTGAACATTAGTCTCCTGTTCACAAAGTTATTTTAATATAGTCGTCTTTGAAAACAAACTACATTTTATTAACTTCCTAAAATTCAATAGCCAGGTTACCTTTCACTGTGAAGTGTCATCAAGAAGCAGACTACACAAATGCAGTTTCCAACTCAATCTTCTAGCTAGAAACCCAAGAATAAGGTCTGATTTATAGAGATAACTGAACTTTACTGTTCACTTCTACTGAACAACAACAACAAAAAAAAAATCAATAAAATATCAATATTAACAGGAGAAAAAGATCTCCACCATTTTCAAGGAAGAAGCACAGATTATCTGTTTTGAATCCTTAAGTGTGGATCATACTCTTGATCTCAGATTATTGTGTTTCAAATGTAGACCCCAGCAGTGTTTAAAGATACTGTGCACTGCAAATAAACGCCAAGAGGACAGAAGGAAGAAGAGAAATCAAAACGGCAAATATTACCTGGAAAAAACAGATTCCCGTAACAAGGAACTTCCCCTCACAAAGATCAGACTCTGAAAGCAAGTTGGGCATTAAACACCACCAGAGTGAGTCATGTCAGGAGAAGACCACAGTGACCCAACTGTCTTTACCCTGGACAGCAGCTGTAACACCTTGTTGTTTAGAGATGCATGTGAATTGAATCTGTGTCACACATTCTTTCCTCGGGTTGCTTACAGAGAGCATAGGTAGCTCACACCTCCTATTAGGGAGTTCTCCAACATTTTTCAGTACAAGCCCATTTTCAGGCAATTGTAATTTTGTCCTGCTTTAAGCATAGGTTAGCCATGAAAAAAATACATTAGGTGTGTGCCTTAGGCTAAGGACTTTGTTAATTTGTTTTTAAAAAGTAAAATAATTCAGTCATTCCTGACAAGGCCTGAGAACACTATCATTTCTTTGATTAACCAATTGCAAGGTGATCCTTCATCTTCCTCCCACAGGCTACAGCAGTCTTAGAACTTGACAAATGCTTCTCAGGCATTCTCCACAAGGTTCTCCATATATATACAGCTAGTTTACAAGCCTTCGGGGGGGGGAAGTAGATTATATAGCTGCAACAGAGGCTCTAGCTGCTCGTACCAAAAAAAAAATAAAACACAATTTCTCCACAAAGTGTTTATCTAGGCTGATATGAACTTGCTCTGCAACCGCTGTAGATTGTGATTGTATTGAGCACAGACATCTATAGTTAAAGAAAGTAGTCCTTTCTCCTAACTTCTGAACTATCATCCTTACCACCTTTACTAGAAAGCATGAGGGAGGCTACTGATCTGAATGAAGGACAGCATCAAAAGCCTACAGATGCATTGGGACGATGTATAGATTTGGACAGGGAACAAGAAGCAGAAAAGGAGACAAGGGAAAACATCTGGGGGTGATACAGAATGTGATTAATTAAAAACTACAGTGTGCTGCACATGCCTCAAAGCAGCCACATCAAGCATGAACAAGGAAATTTATCTCAGACGTTTTCAAATTTCTGCATGCTTGACTTTCCTACTTTAATTTATTCTTCTAGAAGGCTGTCTTTTTGCATGCATGCCAGTGCATATGAGAAAACGATTGAGCCTATCTTGGCTCACAAATCAAAGCTTTCTTACAAGCCAAATGAAATAATAATTAAAAGGCACTGTTTGCCTACCCTACTCTTGGTAGGGACAGATATATCTGGACTGAAACAGCAGTTCACATAAGGTGGCGCAAGGTCCATACATTAGGAAAGAAATAAAGCCAAGAGCAAGAGTTTACATTCAACACCTGCTGCCAGCTCCAAGATTAGCATTAAATTGATGTTTATTCTCTTGGACACATTTCAAAATTCCTTGCTTCCTACACTGTATTTTGCAATTTCTGTTGAATTATCTTACACTGCCATGACCAAACTTGGCAATCTTTTAGGTTGACTAAGCTTTTTCTACTGTTAGAGGCAAGAAAAACATTAACAGTATAAGCAGCTACAGAGATAACATTACTAAGAACTGTTGTTCCCCCAATAAATTCCAACAGGAGACAATATACTTCAGTAAATTGTCTCAAAAAAGTAATGATGGCTTCATTTACTAGAATCCAAGATATTTTAATCAAGACAAATGGGAAAGTTATTACTGACTGAATTCCTTCAAACTGTAAAGACAGAGCAACATTTTAATTACTGTCTATAAGGATTAATCTTCACTTCTATGGTAATGTTGATTTTTGCAAGGACCAGGTAACTTTAATAAAGTATGTTCACACATTCTACAGAAATTGCCACCAAGACATGCCAAAATGTTAGAGGGATCAAGTTGTGTATGCTTGTAGCACCCATGAAGTTTCGTTTGTTCTTCCAAGAATATTTATAGATGTTTATATATAGCTCATAACCTTTAGATTCAAATACGAAAGTAGAATAACACCACCCATTCAGTTTTAGGTTGTATAAAACACACAAACAGTTCCCTTAATAAAGTTACTCTCTGGAATTTTTGTCTTTTACTTTCCCTGCAAGTCCTAAAGTTCAATAAAGTTTGCCTCTTTCAGTCTGCATTTTCTTCTGTCTTTTTCCCTGCAATACCTTCAGTTTCCCAAGTCACTCACCTCCCTCCTACATTATGACACACAAAACCATGCCCAAACTACACAATAACCAGCTCCAAGCTGCCTGGATGTCAACTGGCCACTGATGCTTACTGGGGCAATGGGGCAGTACTCTCTCTTAGGGGATGACTGAGCTGAAGACGTATTCGGGTCTCTCTCATATCCGGCCTCTGATTACAGAGTCACTGCACACACTGCCCTTTCGGCTACCTCAGCCAAAACGCCGGGCATGTACAGAGCACCTCGCAAGCACACAGTGCAATCAAAGACCTCATGAGAAGTCAGGCTAAAAATACTCCATAATGAAATTAATGACTGCACTCACAGCAATACATACAACAGTGTAACAGTTAACTGCTAAGCTTCTCATCTGTTAGGGTGACTCCAATAATTGACAACCAGGAAAAACCAGAAAACCACCCCACCACCACCAAATTAACAAATAAAACTTTATTCCTTCATAGTTGTCAGGCTGCACTCTGCTCAAAACTGCAGCTGAGAATAAACCAGGACTTCTGTGCTTCATATGCAGCTGTTGTATAAAATGCACCGTAAGTGAGCCAAGCTAGGACTGAGGCATGAAAAGATGCGTTAGAAGATATTTATTATATTCTTTATTCATAAGTTTAATGTTATTCCATTAATTTTACTCACCCGATGCTCATTAATAAGAAGATCTCGAGCAGCATTGAAGATCAGCGTGTGCAAATGTTTAGAATAAAAGACCAAGGTGTAGTCGTAGTCAAAGCCATAAATTTCAATGTCTGACAGGCTCATTTCATTGTTTGAAAAAATGGCATCCGGATTCAGCATGTTACTCATAATTGAAGGAACCAACTCTGCGAACAGAGGAGGGGGGGGGGGGGC